CTCGGCCAGCTGCATCTGATAGAATCAGAAGATTAAGTAGAGAGATGAAGCATGACCGCCGAAGCGACCCTGGGAGCATAGGTGCGAGTCCAGCGCAGCGCGGCAACTCGGCCGGGCTGCATCCATTAGAAGCAGGATGAGCTTCTGAGAGAGTGGGTTGCAGCAGTAGCAGTAGCAGTAGCAGCAGCGGCAGTAACCTCAGATAATAACGGCAACGACCTGTATCAGCCGCGGCAGCAGCAGCTGCAGCATCCATAGATAATAACGGCAAAAACCCTGTATCAAAGCCACGGCAGTAGAATATGTTGTAGCTGTTTAGTGTTTCAGTAAGAGAAGCGAAGTGAAGAGAGATGACGAAGTACATGAAGCAGCAGCAGCACGGCAGTAGTAGCAGTATGAAGCAGCAGCAGTAGCAGCAGTAGCGGTAGCAGTATGAAGCAGCAGAAGCAGCATTAGCGGGAGCAGCAGCACCACAATGCGATTCATACGAACAGACAGACGTGTCACGCCAGCGTGCGCCGCTTGTCTCCGTGAGCCAGGTTACATACGTGTCTGAAAGAGCCGAGCCACAGAGACAGGTGCAGCCTGGGAGCCTGCGGAGCAGCAGCGGCACATGCAGTAGTAGGAGCAGCAGGAGCAGGCAGCAGGGACAGACAGCAGCAGGAGCGGCAGCAGGAACAGGCAGCAGCAGGAGCGGCAGCAGGAACAGCGGCGGCGGGATCAGGCATCAGTAGGAACGGCAGCGGGGACCGGCAGCAGCGGCGGTCAGAGAACCATGCCCATGGTTGTTTAACAGCCTGAGGAAAAAAAAAAAAACCGACCCGAATCCGAAACATCCCATGCGAATAACAGACGTCCCCTGGAGCCATCTGCTGCTTTGGTTATGGCAGATACGCATGAACGATCACTGATCCATGCGTTCATGGCTCCGACACCACTTCACACCCATTGCAGATTCACGTTGGGCCCTTTTTCTTTCTGCTGCACTTTCAAAATGCGACAACTGCAGTTTAGTTACCTAATTTAATACCAGCGACCTAGCTATTTAATGCATGGATTTACTGCAAGTGGCAGAACATGAATCTGAATTAATGCACATAGCCCCTCGTATATCCCACAGACGATAGAGATTGATGCCATTTAATGTGCATTGCCCCTCGGTTAGCTCAGACACATGTGAAAACGGAGCCTGCAGACCAAGAACGGGGCGAAAAAACTGACGCCTGCAGTCAAGTGCGTAGGGCAAAAAACCAATCGCCTGCAGCCCAAAACTCCGGGATTAAACCGTCCGCGGTCGGCACACTCACTGTACTCACATGCCAGGAGACTTGGGAAAAGCAACGGGACAACGCGGCACCGCCAATCGAGGCAGGGACACGCACGGCACCGCCAGACCTTCTGCGTGCGGCAGCAGCCACGAGGAACGAGCAGCACAGACCCGCGGAGGGCCCCGCGGAGCAGCCCGCAGAAAGAGCCCGCAGAGCGCAGAGGAGGAGAGCAGTGGAGATAGCGAACCACAGCAGGTGCAGGGACGAGGAGGAGAAGACCACAAGCAGCCAGACGGAGGACGCCAGGGACGCGCCGAGTAGCGTGAGTAGACGAAAACGATTCCTCCAGACGATTCTTTGCGAGGCTTCGAGAAGGCAGAGAGTGGGAGTTTCTCCGCTTTTAAGCGGCTGCCTGTCCGGCACGGATGATTGGAAGGGGGCGTTTGCTGTGCGATAGGCTGGGGAAGCGAACCGGCCTGGAGGGGGTAGCTTTTGGCTGACGTCTACCAAATTGAATTTTCGCGAGCTACATTTTTAAATGCATTAATCTCAGTTTTCCTGACTATTTAAAACAATATTTGATTCCTTTTCAATCCTCCTACAGTTTGCGTCATGCAGTCCCAAGATTGAAAAAAGAAGTCGGGAAAAATGCATTTAAATTAAAAGCACCGTCTGATTGGAACAGTTTGCCCTCATCTGTTCGCTCTCTCAGTTCTCTGGCTCAGTTTTGGAATGCTCTTGTGCGAAATCTCCGAAATCAGTGTCATTGTTTCTGATTTTGGGTTACATAATCCTATGTTTACTACCTTTAATATTAATAAGTTTAGTATTTTCACTATTTATTGTCTGCATCAAATATATTTACAACAGTCATGGTGTGTGTGTGTGTGAGAGAGTGTGTGAGTGTGTGTGTGTGAGTTTGTTTTGTGTGAGTATTGTTTATGGTTGCTTTTTGTCCTTTGTCTTTGTTTACTTTACTGTATTGCATTGTATCTGTCACCTTTTTTAGGACCCCCTCTGTGAATAACTAGTCACATTTCAACAACATGATCTCTTTAATACATGTTGTCAGCCGCTGGTTCAAAACTACAGGTTATCTGGACATCAGCACAAACAGACAAGTTACAGACTACAGTCTAGTCTGGGTCTCTGCTAGATGGAAAGCAGCAGAGTGACCAAGAATGGACCAAGAGCTCTGGTCTTATACCCTGATAATTTGAAACACATGTGACAATATGTCCCACCTTCCTCTCCCTCAGAGAAAACGTGGCTTCCCTCTAAATAAACATGAGATCTATTGAAAACAGATGTTTTCGGCTTTCTGCTTATTTACTCTGCTCTTGTTTACTTATGCTCTTTCACTCTTGCCTGGGGGATGGGAGAATGCTCCATCCCACCACACAGTAGGTTAACCCAAAGCTGTCTAAACTTTGAATATATTCTAATTCACTTTAATGAAAATCCAACAACTCTACTAACACCCTCGAAAACGAGATGTTTCATCTCTAGGGGCTTATCCTCCAAATAAATAAATAAATAAATAAGAATGTATACATAATACTAACATGAGAGACAAAATTAACCATTCTCAATACAATATTATTACTAATGCTATCAAATGATAAACTTATTTAATTACGATTAATCACATTCATGTCATAGTTAACTTACGATTAATCACAGTCATGTCATAGTTAACTTACGATTAATCACATTCATGTCATAGTTAACTTACGATTAATCACATTCATGTCATAGTTAACTTACGATTAATCACATTTATGTCATGGTTAACTTACGATTAATCACATTCATGTCATAGTTAACTTACGATTAATCACATTCATGTCATGGTTAACTTACGATTAATCACAGTCATGTCATAGTTAACTTACGATTAATCACAGTCATGTCATAGTTAACTTACGATTAATCACATTCATGTCACACTTAAAATAATAACAATTACACATTCTCCTTGTTCTAAATATCCTTTGATTTGGTTTGAAAAGGGATTGAATGAAACAAAAAGCTTATTAATCACATCCCCTCCACAGAGAAAGTATTTGGAATGTCTGATATAGGTTATTGGATTTTATTTGTTTTCATTCATGTTAGTGAGATTTTTATGTTTTGTGACCATCACTCCATTCCATTTTCTTCCGCTGATTCTCATCCCAGCCGCTTCATACTCGGCTGCAAACCGTCCCAGTGCATGGTGCAGATCCTTGCTGGTTGGAGCCAACAGGACAACATCGTGCGCAAACAGCGGAGACAAAATCCTGTGGTCCCCAAACCGGACCCCCTCTGACCCCTGGCTGCGCCTAGAAATTCTGTCCATAAACACAGTGAACAGAACCGGTGACAAAGGGCAGCCCTGGCGGAGGCCAACATGCACCAGGAACAGGTCTGACTTACTGCCGGCAATGCGGCAGTAAGTAAGAACACAGCTCTGGCTCCGGTCATACAGGGACCGGACGGCCCTCAGCAGAGGACCCCGGACCCTGTACTCCCGGAGAACCCCCCAAAGGACACGGTTGAACGCCTTCTCCAAATCCACAAAGCACATGTGGATAGGTTGGGCGAACTCCCATGAACCCTCGAGTATCCGATGGAGAGTATAGAGCTGGTCCAGTGTTCCGCGGCCGGGACGAAAACCACACTGCTCCTCCTGAATCCGAGATTCGACCATCGGTCGTAGTCTGATCTCCAGTACCTTGGAGTAAACCTTACCCGGGACCATCATGCGCAGTGGAAATAACTATAGCTTCAACGTTTGGCCTCTGACCAAGTTTTTAGTTTTTACTGATGGACGTCTAGTAATCTCCAGAGAGTATGACTGCTTTTGCTTTCTCCAACTTGTACCTTATGTCCCTTACACTCCGCACGGGTCATTTAAAGAGGAAAGGTTCAGAATGTAGTGTGCCAAAAGGCTGTTTTCAGATCACCAAGAGCCCGTCAGCCCAAATTATGACCAAAATGACGCAGCTTTCTGTCAAAATACAGAAGAAGCATGTACTAATGTTATTTTTGGTCATCAGCAATGGACTTTAGCTGCTGTCCTCTGCCCTGTGCTGTCCACTATACTTCTCTGCAGACTCAACCAGGGCAGGAGCAGTCTCGCGCAAAACCCTGGGATTAAAAAAATGACACCGGTAAAATGGTAAGTAATATAAGTAAGTAAGTAATCTACGCATGAAAGTAATCTTTATTTATAAAGCGCCTTTCTCAGACCAAAGTCACAACGCGTTTTGTAATTTTATTTTTTTTGGGCATTTGTCCTCTCACTTCACACAGGGATGGGAGCCAGGTTGCCAGTACAATAAGCGCATTCCAAATATATTTTACATGTTTTCAGTGGTGGGGGAAACCGGAACACCTGGAGGAAACCTACACAGACACGGGGACAACATGCAAACTCCACTCAGAAAGGCCCTGTTCCGCCCGGGATTCGAACCCAAGGAGGTCCTGGGCAGCACTAAATATAATAGTATGTATGCAATTTGAATAAAGAATTATAATTATTGTTTATTGAGGCAACTTGCCGGATGCAGAAATGTATTATAGTCATGTTTAGCTGAAGAATAACCTATTGAGCATACTTTAGCAACCAATTAAAGTTTACGCAGAGAAAAAATTCAAGGTAAAGAATAACCATACTTGTGTCAGTTAAATGTTAAACTATGATCATCTTGTGTCTCATTGCGTATGATGTCAAAATGAGTGAACATTTCAGTTGTATTGGGCCATAGGGTGGTCGTTCCAGGCAGGCAGGTTGGACAGTTTCTTCTCAGTGTCGCCCTCTATAGGCCACCCCCAGGCTTTGAAAAACCTGCTCAAGTCCATCCCCACGATCTCGGAGAAGGTCACAGCGTAAAGGTTCATCTTCCCGTCTCTGTCTCCGGGAAAGCCACTCATGGTGTGGTAAGCAGCGAACACCTTCTTATGAGCATCCCAGCCAAATTTGTCCTGCAGCTGGAGAATAAAATATAAAAAAAGTGTCAAATTAACCATAACGCTGTATACCCACTAAACATCCGACGTCCACTCAACCTCCAGATCACGTCAATATCGCGTCGGTCGGTCATGACCTTTTATTCACGTCCAAACGACGTCTGTGCAAGGTGCGCATCTGGACGTAAAACAATGACCTCCCATATACGTGGATATGACGTTCAATCCCGACCTCCCCTAGACGTCGAGAACAGGTCATCGGCCGACCGACGCAGTACGTCTTGATCTAGCAATACAATATATAGGCTGTGAAGCGATGTCAGTGTACCTGACGGTAGTGTAGTGGTTAAGCAAATGTGTGCAGCCTTGGTGACGTGAGTTCGAGCCCACGTGTGTGTGTTATTATCTTTACATATTTGTTTTGATTTTTAACAAACAATTTTTTTCTGTTTGGTTAAAGACTAATAAACACTCAACATAGGATTACGTAGTGGCTAATAATAAAACTTGTGAATGTATGCATTTGTTGTGCTAACAATCTCAAGTTTGCAAATAAGGGGTGAGCACTTGAGATTTTATGCAAATGCATGGGTTCACAAGTTTTATTATTAGCCACTACATAATCTTATGTTGAGTGTTTATTCGTTTTTAACCAAACAGAAAAATTGTTCGCTAAAAAGTGAAAAGTCAAAAAAATTCCGACGGGGATGTGAACCCGCGTCGATGCGACTGAAGTCTCATTACGCAACCGCTACACCACCGCCATGCATGCTTTCTGGCTGTTGGGAAAAAATAATACATAACACCCTAAACAACCGACGCACACTTATGCGAGGTTACAGCCCGACACGCGAGTCGCTCGGTCGAGGACCTGTTTTCCACGTCTAAACGACGTAAGGTGTGCATCTGGACGTAAAGCAATGCCTTCCCAGACGTTGATATGACGTTGAATCTGTACCTCTGTCGCTGCCCTGCTTTATTTACTTGGAATCACCCTCTCTAGTAAGTACACAGTCTGCACAGTTTTTAGATATAGATGTATCATTTCCACATTGAAAAGAGTTGGAGACAGAAAGTAAGTCGTTTTCTCACGTATACGTGGATTTTGTTAAGTATATTTTGTATATTATCTGTATTTTGAATTGCCAGTGCATGAATTTATAATAATAACGGCTGGCACTGCTCAGCTGAAAGAGAGACACCTTTTTTTAGTTTTTAAGTTAAAGTTTAAAATATGATATTGTGTTTCATATTTCAAACTATTTTTAACACATTAGAATTCTTAGGTTAGACTGTCCAACAAACTATGTGTTAAAAAAGGTTAAGATTCTTGAGTTTTAAAATAATAATTCAATTCCAAAATGTAAAGTTACTGTATATTTCACAATGGTTTATAAACTGCAGAAAGACAACAGTACTTAGTAAACTAAGTTTAAAAACAGGGAGATCAGCTTTAATATTTGGGACACTCCCATCATTTAGACACCTGTGATGTCATCAGTTGGAGTTGAGTTCAGGTGTGGGACCATGTGGGACCATGTGGGACCATAGGAGCACACAGATGTTACCTGCTGCAGAAAGACAGTTTATGTTCATGTATTGCTTTGTTTAATAAATGGATTGAATGTCTTCCCATTAAATCTTCAATGTCAGAGACTTTCACTTCTTCTCACTGTGGCTGTTTAAATGAGCCACTACAGTTGTTATTTTTGTTATTGTTAGCTGCAAATATTAAATATCCATTCATCTGCTGGTAGCAAGCTAACTAGCGCTTGCAACTCTATTCAATTTCTTACTTTTTCTTATAAACTTTAAAACCAGCCATATGTTAATTAAAATACATTTACCTTTGCTAATGCAGTCAATTATTGTGAAATCCATAGAGTATAATTTCATGATTGTTGCAATAACTAATGTTCTGTGTGTATTCCTAATGTGTCATGTGTGTTTGAGTCTTACAGGTGTCAGACTGTGTTGAAGGTGTTCAAAGGTAAGAATCACACTCTCACACATTTATTGTTCTTCTGTATTATTATGTTGTTTTGAGAATAAACCATTATTTGGTGTATTCTCTTTGAAAACATCTATCTTTTTCTCAGATTGTTCAGCAACTCACTCAAGATGAGGGAAAAGAGCAACAAGGGGAAGATGCCCCCTCGGAAATGCAACATGTGTAGAGTAATACAGGGTAAGTAGCTTTCAGGGCTCATTTGTCCATGTGCAAAACAAATGCACATTTGCAATTGTTTTTTACATGGAATTACTCCAATGACCAAAGCCTTATCCCAAGTTTCTCAGACGGAGTGTCTTCCAGTGTCTCGAGCTAGTGCAGTGCCAAGGTTTGTATCACATGGTGATGGATCGAGTGGTTTGAGGCATTAATAGAAAGTTATGTGTTGTTATATCACTTTGCCACATTATGTTGAAACTAAACATGTTCGACATTTTCAGGTGCTGTGCTTGGACCTTGTGATGAAAGACTGAAGACCAAGAGAGGACACATGTTGGAACATCAACATTCAATAAATGCATTCTTCTGCCTTTCAGATTGTGTTTTTACATCTGGGGAACCTAGAGTGTAGCTTGTGCCTGTTTTAATACTGATCCAAACATAGGCGCTACAATCATGTTTTTTTACTTTGGCATGAACTGTTCAGTACAGTAGTGTTCATAACACTGTGCCCTGTGTGCTTTAACTTGTACTTTGATGTAGAGAAACATGATTTTTAATGCAGCTCCATTTGCAATAATGACTGATATCCTTCTACTACAGTTGTTCTAATGATTTTTGAATGCTGTGTTTATTGTTTATTGCCCAGAGTCAGAACTAAACATGATATAGCTGCATTTCAGATTCACAAGGCTAAAATCTGGAACGGTCTTCCTGGAAATGTGAGACAGGCTTCTTCTTTGACAATGTTAAAATCCAGGTTTAAAACACTTCTGTTTCTGCTTCAACTGAGAGATTTTATGAGAGATTTTATTTGTATCTTTTTAATTTACTGTCAATATTTATAATTGTAATGCCTTGTTTGATTGTTTCTATCTTTTGTTCAGTGCTTTGAGTTTCCTTTTGTTTTGACTGTGCTATACAAATAAGACCGGTTCTGTACCACATTCAAACCTTGAATTGACGTGCCATCAACGTAACATTTGGAGGTTGAGGTGACGTCGGGAAACGACGTCGAGAAAACTTTCATTCTGCACCCACCAGTGACCTATATTCTACGTCGGACAACGACGTTCAAATTACGTTGATTCAACGTCGGCTTGCTTAGTGGGTAAGTCGTAGTAAAGTATGTCTATAGTCAGAGCTGCACCCAACTACTTAAGATGCCAAAAATACATACATTAAAGCTGGGAAACCTAACTTTTACCCACAAAACAGTACAACAAAAATTGGTTCCCTAATCTCAAAACAATTAATAGTTTTCACGAGAATTGTATTTGTAAGTAAAACATTACATTGCTGGGATTATTTACTCTGTTGCATGTTTAGATCAGCTTTTTCAGATGGTAAAGTGAGGACCGACCGCACTCAGCCAATCAGCTCACAGCCCAAATCGTCAAATAGTGACTCACAGGGCCCTTTCATACAAACATGCAATAGACTTTTTTTTTTCTGATAAGACAAAGAGAGCATGTTGTGGTGAGATTTAAACAAGGCTCTTTGTTGAAACAAACATGTGCTATGCAGGTACCCCAGCTTTAATATTCCATATTATACGACTGTAATAAAGAAGAAGGTCCAAAGTAGCTCCCTGGTGTGGTGTTTGACAATATACACATAATGATCACTCAAACCAGACAATACCTGCATGTATGTCTCCAGGGCAGTCCACAAATCCCACTCGCTCAACTTGCTTCCATTTTTTGCATAGTTTTCTGCACAACTTTTCCGTCTTCCTGCTTGCATCTCATAGTGAACCTGCATTGTGAGCCCAATGTTGGTTAAACTGTTTATCATTCAGCATTCCTTATATATTCCCCTATACCTTCTCGCAGGGGAGATTTAACACTGTCTCGTGCACGTAAACAGACCACAGGTTGCATGTGGCCTCTGTGGTGTGAGGGTGGAACTCCCAGCATTCTCTCTGTTGGTTGTGTCCCAGCTCATGTATTGGTCCCCACAGACCTTGGGTGGTTGCATGTTTAACACTGACAATCTCTGCAGCGTCGTCTGTGTGTGCCATGATGGGATAACCTGCATGCATCCAGCCTGAAACAGTAACCAGAGCAAACATCACTTTATGTTCCGTACATGGGGTTAAGGATCTAATTTCAGTTAATTAAAACTATAGATGCTTGAAATATAAGTCATACAAGACACAGGACGACTCCTTACCAAGCTTAAATATGAACCAAAACTCTTTTCAACTTTGTTTAAAACTCTGGACTATATCGTGATTAGCCCAATTCAGGCACTTGTATTGTATCTTCTAGGACCCAGGAGATCATTTGGAAAATGTATTTATGTTTATGTGAACAGCAAAAAGGAGACACGAGTACAAAGGACTTGTAATTGTAAGTGATTAGGGCAGTATAGTTTATGGACATTGTTTAGTAGGTATAGGACGCATATTTATTGTCAAAATAGATAAGTAAATACGCAACAAGATGAGAGCTAAGAGTTCATGTTTTTCTCCTCAGAGTTCATTGTGTCATTTACAAAGCTTTGTTCATAAGTGTCGTCTATCAGCTTAGTTTTGCTCTGTCAGCTGAACATCAGACGTTGCTTAAGTGTTATATTACAACATGAACCTCTGCAGCTAATTTTAACAAAATGTACTTCCTTTTCAAATGCAGCTTGTGCACTTTAGATACAGGTGCTTTTGATAGTCCAGCAAGTACTATACACTGTAGAGTCATTCTTCAGCAGTGCATTTTGTAGATACATATGGTACTTTAGTTAAAAAGATTGAAAGGCTTGACCAAACAGCGGGCAGCACCAAGATACATATATTCACATATGCGAATAAAGATCATTAGAAGAGATCTGAACACTACAAAAACGTACAGTTATAGTGAATTATTGGCAAAAAAAGACATGTACAAGTAGAATTACGACGATTTATCTTTCACTTCTTCACAAGCGCTTTATTCACACCATAAGTATAATGTTGCATAACTGAGGCCTACTAATTCTAGTTAAAACCTCCTCTAGAATGGACTTGAACTTTGTCTATGTAACTTTTAAAATGGACACTACATTAACTTTTCATATTGTTATTCAGTATCCTTATAAAGCAAGTATCTCCAGGCTCAAATTCTGACAGTGTACGATCTTTAAATCTCTGTTGAATTTGTGGACTAGACATTAGTGTGCATTACTATTTTTACCATGTGAGATCTGCACTTCACAGACAAATCTCTCTTTCCGTTTAAACTTGTGTGGGATTGCAGCCAAGTCTGCAATGGCCCTCAACATCTTGTCCCAGAGCGCGGCCAGCTCGTCAGGACGCTCCAGAGTCCGGATCACCTCTGAAGGCACCGTCAGAATGATGTTCTCAAACTCCAGCTCTGCCCAGGGAGACAGGGCCGTGCGCAGACGTGACCAATCAGACAGAGAAGTTTCCCCTGAGAAAAGAGAAGAGTAATTAAAAAGCAGAGTTTGTCTGCTTTTTGGGGGCGACAGTAGCTCAGTTGGTAGAGCATTGGCCTTTGGGCCTGAAGGTCGTGGGTTCGAGCCCACCGTAAGACCTACTTCACGACTCCCACTGATGACTGCTGTCGTTGTGTCCTTGGGCAAGACACTTAACCCCACTTCACCTGAAGCCCCCACTGAAAGATCTCAGCTCCTGTGGACTCACCACCAGCAGGAGGATCAGTTAGGGGCTGGTGCTGAGTGTACTGGGTGCAGCTCTGACTGCCACCCCCCCGACCCAGAAATGGATTAAGGGGAAAAAAATGGACAATGGACACTCTTAGACTGTCAGTCAAGCTGCATAGGGAGTCAGTTTGCTGGGAGAAGTATGGTAACTTGAGCACTATCCTCTCCTCCTTTCTACTTTATCTGTTTATCTTTATCATTATTAGGATTTTGACTGTAGTCTGTTCATTGCTATACACTCGTTGTCCCATTGTCTGTTTCATGGTACGATGACGGGATCTCTGAACCTGGCCTCCTCCATCTACACCTGTGGACTGCCCTGCCCCCTTCCATCCACACCTGCGGACTGCCCTGCCTGACCCGGACCTGTCCACGTTCTGCTGCTGCTGCTTGGCCCTTGTCCTCGTTTTGTAGCTTAGGTCCTGGATCTATAGCCAGTCCTTCTGTGTGGAGGACCTCACCACACCTAAAAAAATTAGGTGTGGTGAGGACTTGATATTGCGCGTCACATTAAGTCTTCCTATCTTGTGCATTTTCTCTCCTGCACTTTCATATTCTCCGCTGTGTTAAACCTTTCATATAATCCCCGGACCGTGCTCGAGGGGCGCAGGGGGAGTGTCTCTCTGCAGGGCCAAAGAAAAGCGTTTCCTATGGGTAGCTCTCTTCTGTCCTGACCGTTATTATTATAGATCCATGGTCCTGACCCTCGCTCACAGTGTGGTGCTTTTGCAATACTTCAGATATTCAAGAATCAGTCTTTATTTAATCACCAGAACACACACACACACATGTAACCTCCCTGTCTGCGGTCGCTCTCTGCGTAGTCCACACTTTTCATTCCTTCATTCTCATTCATTTCTCAGTGCTCTTACGCTCGTTGCTAAAGAGTGTGTGTGTCCGCAGCGCGCACACACACACGTTACCCAATGAACTGCTGCACTTTGCATCAGAGCAATTTGCACAAGTGTGAGATGTATCTTTCCCTAAACAACGCGATCCGTACTGAGCTGTTAGCTAGAGTAGCAGAAATAGGGATGTAAATTGGTGACCATTTTACCGGTGGTTGACCGTCACAGCGTTAACCGGTCAAACCTGTCGGTTAAAAAAAGAAAAGAGGGAGAGAGGAGGTATCTCTAAAACGCTATTTTAAGCCCTTTTTGCACGGTGTGACGAGCGGGTCTGTATGTAGCTGTGTGCGCCAATGTATCAGTAAACTCAGAGCTGACTTTCATGCCGCACGCGCCACACACACATGCACACACACATGCGCGCACACACCCACACACACACACACACACACACACACACATTTTCCCCCCTCCATTGATACGTAACATCCACACGCATCCTCTCTCCCCTCTGTTACTAATCCGCCAAAGTTGCACACTAGTGCGGGCCAGAACATACACACATACATAGATGTACACACATACCGGTCTGTCGCGCTCATCTGTGTCACACAGCCCAAAGGATCCTCGCGGCTACAGCACAATTTCCCTGGCACGGTTCAGACAATACGTTCATGTGACCGCGGGCCATTTTCACACCCCTGTGGCGACGATCCGGGCCACTTGGCCTAGTTCGTTTGTAAAAACCTATGTGACCGGGCCATTAGAGAGTGATAAATAGCTGCATGAGTGGTGGTAGCCTGAGAGGTAGGCCAAGGTATGGGTTGAGTGAAGGCGTGAAGAGAGCGTTAAATGTGAGAGCTGTGACAGTGGCGGAGTCAATAGTTTAAGGGCCCCCTGTCTGAAAGCTAGGGGCCCTACAGCATTCTGCCTGCCTTACAATCAGACGTGCCAATGGGACAGGAAAAAATATCTTGTGTTAAAAAGATACAAGAAATGTCTCCCTTTGAATCAGAAAACAAAGACACTATTCTTGAAATAAGACTAAATGGCTTGTCTCATTAATGGCTGTCCTGAGAGGTCTAGAAATGTGAATGTGGATGAATGAGTGTGTAATCCAGAGACGTAGGCAGAAATGTTGAATAGGGCGGGCCTGAAGAAAAAGTGGGCGGGCCAACTTTTGCCAGAGGAAAACTTAATATGATATCCAATAATACCTAGCAGACATGCCTCCTCGGTTTGACAGCTTTTAGTGAACAGCATAGACTGTAGTGGATAGGCGCTAATTAGCTACAGTATAAACGATGGTGAATTAAAGTAGATTTAGGAATATATTTGGCATTAGAGGCTTTAACCTTTAGAGTCTTAATAAATGGTATACATTATTATATTTAGTCATAATAATACATATATTGCATTATAAAACAAATCGCATTTATTAATAGTCAAATTGCCATAAAACCAACTTCGCTCCAGGCCTTTGAGCTGAACTGAATCTTAACATCATGAGCACTAACAATAAAACTACAGCAAAGTGATGGAGGCACTTTGGATAAAGAGACGTAAGCAGGACTCCTGTTCTTCAGACTCAAGTGTCCCCGCATGTGTGTGTGCGTGTGCGTGCGCGTGTGAAGCTCCACGCACACACCACAGCAGCTGGTGTAGCGCTCGTGAGACACTGCTCGCGAGTCCGCGGCCAGACCGAGTCCGCATTTGCGGTTCACGGTGTGCAGGGTGAGGTTGGTCCTAGCTCTGTTTTGGATTGAACGCAGCTTCAGACTTCTGGGTTGAGCTCTTCTCCCGCACCCGCGGACAATGTTCCTCATCGTCACAGAAAGAGAGCCATGACTCTGACTTTGAATGGGGCCTGACCGCGCAGATCTACCGCGGTCCATACACTGTTGAAATACGTGGCTGCTTCTTTTGTGCGGCACAGGACGTTTTCTGTGCGCTGAGACCATGGATGTTTTATAATAAGACCCCTAAAGAACAGCGCGATTGCGCATGCACGCATCTAAGAGGGAACAGCTCATCAGTAACATTGCAGAAGCAAAAAAAAAATCAATATAGAAGACAAGAGTATGATCACACAGAGTGGAGGAGCACTGGAAGTATTTTTTCAGCCTTTAAACCCCCGGTTTCTCAACTTCAGACGGTGCTATCTCTGTGCAGCCTGCACTTATAGATCCATGGTGCAGCCTGAGTTTCCCAGTTCAGTGCAGTGACAGATTAGAACATATGTAAATGTGTTGAATGGAGATAGATCCATAATAATTTTCTCTGATTACTCACATTTTACGAGGCTTAGGGGAAACGCGTTTCTTGACACTGGCTACACGGCTTCACTGATCACTTTTCAGAGAGCGCTCGGACTTTACTGAAAGTAAACAGTAGCTACATGTAGAGTTTGGCGCCTCGCTATTTTAAGTGCAGGTGGAAGAAGACAGCCAATCACTGCAGAGAGATGAATGCTGCTGCTGCTGTGGAGGCGAGAAGGAGGCGCGGCGTGTGAACATCTAATCATTTATCAATACATTTTTAAAGGCTTTGGTTTGAATGTCAATGTTAAGCATTTTTTTTAAGAGTGAATAAAAGTATCAATCATAAAAAATGGTAAGAAAAATTATGCAAGCCTTCTCAGGGCGGGCCAGGTCCTGGGCCAATCAAAAAAGTGGGCGGGCCTAGGCCCACCCTGGCCCTAATGTGCCTTCGTCACTGGTGTAATCCGAACTCCTTCCTGAAGTCAACCACAATACAATACAATTTATTCTTGTATAGCCCTATGGTCACAACAAAAGTCATCTCAGAGGACTTAACAAAACCATTGAAATCACCAACACAGGTCAGAGAATCAACAGTTAAAACACATGAAGAATATAAAGCACACACAAAAGAAAATGTCCATACATGTTGTAGAATGTTAAAGTGTCCTGATCATCACCAATCCTTTCTGTTGGACACTAACTGTCCAACAAGACCCTCCTGCATCGACAAGGAAGGGTCCCAGGAGGAATTGGTTCATGGCTATAGATAGTTTGTTGTAAGAAAAAGAGAGCAAAATGTAATCTATGGAAGGCAATGTTAACGTCAATTGAACATACTGCAATTGTGCTCACCTGATTTGTAATATGGCACAGGAACACCGACTTGAACAATGACTTCAGCTCCCATCACTTGAGTTTTTGGAGGCGCTATGATGTAAAGTAGGCCTCCCCAAAGGTTGTGCACCAGAACCATCTCTGAAGTGACTGGGAAACTCTCACAGACGGATGGAGCTCTCTTCAACTCGTCTAAACCATTGAGTTTGTCAGTCTGACATCCTATCTGCACCTAGTCAAAGGAATACAGTAACAGAGGGCATGTAAGACCAGCGTGGACCGGGCCCTCAGTACATAAAGACAAACACACAAAAATCCCCCCCAAAAAATAAAAATATCTAATAACCACATATTGTATTGGTAGGTAAGTAAGTAGTAATGTTTATTTATATAGCACATTTTACAGACCAAGGTCACCCGAAGCGCTTTACAGTGTTCAGAGTTCAGATATAGTTCCAATCATTCAAGATTCCAGATTTTTTACCAGAAAAAGAGTACGCGTACCCATTAGTTGAGAACCACTGTTATATTCTAAATGACTTTCAGGCCCTGTCCACACGAAGTCAAGCTCAGGCCTAAACGCAAAAATACTTTATCAATCCAGTGTATCGTCCATACGAGGCCGGCGTTTTGGGGGGGTGTAAACGAACATTTTTGAAACTAGGTCCCAGAGTGGAAAGATTTCAAAACTCCGTATATGCCGCTCCGTGGTTACTGCCTCTCCGCAATGTATCTGAGACGCTTGCGTCATCGCCCCGCCTCTTGTTAAAGCACGCATGCGCCGCACTCAGAAAATAATGACACTTTCTTGTAGCTTGTTGGTTTTGTAATCCAGTGTGACCCGAAGCAACAGTTCAACCTCATCGTCCGTCCATACTAATGTAGTACCAGCTCGCCCACTCGCCATGTTGTCTGTTTACAAAATTCTGCGCATGCCTAGTTCCCGTCACGGAAGTTTGGGCTTGATCCCGTCATTGCGTCACAGCGCCACCAACAGGTCTGGCATAGTTTCACAGCGTTTTCAGGCGTATTGACTACATTCATATGGACGCACACATTTACTGAGCTAACTCCGTGTTTACAGAAAAAGTTTCTGAAATTATAAGCGTTTTGTCTTCGTGTGGATATAGTCTCAAACTGATTAAAATGTTACATATTCCAATTTATCATTAGTGTTTTGTTCTGGTTTATTTTTCTTAGTGTATTTAGGCCCATCTGTTTCTTTACCAATGTTATAGAAGACAATTAGATTCAACTTGTACTGACAAAGTTTGACTGGCCATTTTTAAAGGCTGGTATTTTTTGAGAGACCACCATTTTTTCATTTGTCGGTGGGTAAGGGAAAAAGCTAACGGAGAGGAAAAACGTATTGGTAACATATCTGGTATATACTGTAGCTACAGCAAAGACCAAAAGTTTGGACACACTTTCTCATTCAATGAGTGTCCTTTCTTTTCATGACCATTGACTGTAGATCCACACCAGGCTGTGTAAGGGCTGTTTGACCAATAAGGAGAGTGGTGGGTGCTGGACCAGATGACCTCCACAGTCACCAATCCAGATGGTTTTGGGGCTGGACCACAGAGTGAAGGCGAAAGGGCCAACAAGTGCTAAGCATCTGTGAGAACTCAGACCATTTCAGGTCAATAACTCGAAGCTCATGAAGAGAATGCCAAGAGTGTGTGAAGCAGTATCAGAGCGAAAGGTCCTACTTTGAAGAACCTAGGGGCTGCTGACCTCAGGTCTTGCTTCAGACGTCAGGTCTTGCTGCCGCGCCAGTGTTGGCGCCAGATTCAAAATTCAAATGTAGTAATACAGGTCGCCAGCAGATGGCGCCTCACAGACGGTTTTAGGCAGAAAGTTTAACTTTCAACTAATTTGCACCAAAGTTACAAAATTATGACCAGGATATGTAGACAACACTATTGGACACTCATTTATACCGTTTATCAGCAAAAAAAGTGGATTTGAGGGTGAGTTGTCCTTTAAATCGAGAGAAGTGGCTGCTTCCAGTGTTGCCAACTTAGCGACTTTGTCGCTAGATTTAGCGACTTTTCAGACCCCTATAGCGACTTTTTTTCAAAAAAGCGACTAGCGACAAATCTAGCGACTTTTTCTGGTGTTATTGGCGACTTATCTGGTGTTTTGGAGACTCGTGAAGCACGTATTGTTCTGCTGTCCTCAACGTGAGCCCCTCCCCCGTCCCAAAGCACTTACAGGCGGCCAGTCTCACAGTAGCCTTGCGCAGCAGTCCCAGCTACAGTCTATGGGCGGAGCAGAGAGAGAGAGAGGAGACTCAAAAGCACAGGAAGTTTTCAGGCTGCTGCAGACTGAACTTCAGCTCCACCACCACCACACATCCAAAGCTCCCCGGCCACTCCTACCACCGCCACCCCCCACTACCCCCCACTCCATCCGCGGCAGCTCTGTCCGTGACTCTGTTTTCTCTCAGTAGTGGGTCACATTAAATCATTTGTTATGCCAAACTATGAAAAAAAAAAAAAAACTTACAAAAATAAACCTAAGTAACTCTGCCAGAGTGTGTCTTTTGGGTCACTTTGCCGGTCCCAAGCCCGGATAAAGGAGGAGGGTTGGTTGTAGAGCTAGCAATTTCACCCTACATAACAATCTTTTGATTACATTTGCTGTTATAACATTTAACAATACAGGACAAAACTGATGTGTGTAATGTGGATCTAGACAAAGCATTAAAATCATTAAATGTTGTTAATGTTGAAATTATTTGTAGTTTCTAAACATATTTAGGGTGTTTTTACTCACTTTTGTCTCTCCCACGACCTTATTCCTCTCTCCTACAGCGTCCGTTACAGTTATTTGCAAATGGCAAATTATGCAAATTAGGCGATGACGTCATTTAGCGACTTCTAGCGACTTTTGGGACAGCCAATAGCTACTTTCCTTACTGAGGAGTTGGCAACACTGGCTGCTTCAAGCAATGTTCGATTACGTTATAGGTGGAAGTAGGACATCAGGTCAGGGCTCACAAATAGTGGTATTTGGAGGAAGTTAAGGATCGCCTAACTGGATGTTGACCCGTACCTTCTCCCCCCAGTCAATTTTATCGATTAAATAAAATGTATATTTTTGCCCAAATTCACCCTACATGATCTTTATCATTATCGTTAACAATGCATCCCCTCACACTGGAGCAGATTTATATGTACATTTTGCTGGTAGCATTAGCAATAGTCCACTTTTCTGTGGCTGTTCTGTCTACAGCCAAACATGATACGTACTGACGGAGAGGAAAATAGTGAAACACGCAATTGACTTAAAAGATAAAAATGTCAATGTTGCATTGCACATACAGGACAGTAGTAAGAGACACGTTTGACGTGTGTCATTGTCCTCCAAATTAATGGAAATAAAATAAATACAAACTTGTGATTGCTTTATCTTCTAAAAAGTGTTCACTGCATATTAGGGAGTACTTGGATGGGTCCCAGTCCTTTTGGTTGATTGCCGCCATCGTCGTCTTCTGTCTTCATGACGAGCAGGTATCAGATAAAAAAGCTTATGTCCTTGCCTGTTAGTATAATCAACCGCACTGCAAAATGTCACAGTTTTGACTGTGATGCGCTGAAACAGGTTGACGCCCACTTCCCGATCTTCTGAAGTCTGCAAACTTCTGAAGCCTGCAAGGTGCATGTCGCTAACGCACCTGTTCGCAAATGCATGCGTTGTTCTGGAGGGGTCGCTTCTGCTCACGTGTTGCTCGTGCGCGTGGCCCGGCTGTCCTCAGTCTGGCTGCTCGTGGTCTGCTCCTCTTCCACGTCCCTGCACCTGCTGTGGTTCGCATATCCCCACTGCTCTCCTCCTCTGCGGGCTCTTCTGCGGGCTGCTCCGCGGGGCCCCTCCGCGGTTCTGTGCTGCTCGTTCCTCGTGGTCTGCTGCCGCGCGCAGACGGTCTGGCGGTGCCGCGTTGTCCCGTTGCTTCCCAAGTCTCCTGGCATGTGAGTACAGTGAGCGTGCCGACCGCGGACAGTTTAATCCCGGAGTCTAGGCTGCAGGCGGCCGGTTTTTGCCCTACGCACTTGACTGCAGGCGTCAGTCTTCGCCCCGTGCTTGGTCTGCAGGCTCCGTTTTACACGTGTTTGAGCTAACTGAGGGACAATGCATCTTAAATGGCATCAATCTCCAATGTCTGAGGGATATAAGAGGAGCAATGTGCATTAATTCAGATTCATGTTCTGCCACTTGCAGTAAAACCACGTTGGAAAAAAATGTGCAAAGACTACCCCATCGTGCTCCAGACGGCACACACAGAGCTCTTGCACGGCGCCATCTTTACAGCATCAATCTCATTACTCGCAAGTCACTATTGTTAAATGAATGTATTTAAATTCGTCTATCTGCAGGAGGAAAGAGGGGCCATGCATTTAAATAGCTAGGTCACTAGTATTAAATTGGTAACTAAACTGCAGCTGTTGCATTTCGAAAGTGCAGCAGAAAGAAAAAGGGCCCAATGTGAATCTGCAATGGGTTTGAAGTGGAGCTGGAGCTAATGAACGCATGGATCAGTGATCGTTCATGCGTTCTACCATAATCAAAGCAGCAAGATGGCTCCAGGGGACATCTGGTTCTCGCATGGGAATGTTTCGGATTCGGGTTGATTTATTTCCTCAGGCTCTTAAACAACCGTGGGCATGGTTCTCTGACCGCCGCTGCTGCGGTCCCTGCTGCCGTTCCTACTGATGCCTGATCCCGCTGCTGCCTATTCCTACTGCTGCCTGTCCCGGCTGCCTGCTCCTGCTGCTCCTACTACTACATGTGCCGCTGCTGCTGTTCCTGCCGCTGCCGCTCCGCAGGCTCCTAGGCTGCACCTGTCTCTACGGCTCGGCTCTTCAGACACGTACGTAACCTGGCTCACGGAGACAAGCGGCGCACACTGGCGTGACACGTCTGTTGTTCGTATGAATCGCATTGTGCTGCTGCTGCTTGCTGCTTCTGCTGCCGCTACTGCTGCTATTGCTGCCGCTGCTGCTTCATACTGCTACCGCTTCCGTGCTGCTGCTGCTTCTTTACTTTGACACCTCTCTTCACTGCGCATCTCTTTTACTGAAACACTAAACAGCTTCAACTATATTCTACTGCGGTGGCTTGATACAGGATTATTGC